CTATTTTGATCTAGGCCTCCTGGAATCCTCAGCCAACATGAGGCACTGTGGGATCTGTAGTCCAACAAGCACCTCTGTCATCTTGATCTGGAGCAGTTTCTGTGTTGCCTTCCCTATCTGCCACTCACCACACCCCACCACATCCTGCAATGCAAGCCCTGAAACTGCTTCACTTACATGTGTGTGTTGTACGCCTTCAAGTCATTTCTGACATTTGTCAGCCATGGATTTTTCTTGACAAGATTTGTTCAAGGGAAGTTTACCATTGCCTTCCCCTGAGGCTGACAACATGTGACTTGCCCAAGGCCACCCAGTTGGTTTCATGGCCAAGTTGGAACTTGAACCCTGGTTTCCAGAGTTGTAATACAATACTCAAACCACTACACCATGCTGGCTCAGTCATGCAGTGACTGAATTCATAAACAAAAGTGAAATAGCTTTAGGCATCCTGGGATGCCCTATTAAAATTTTTCTACTTTCAGGGTGTGCTGTGAACCAGATCTTTAGGAAAGATGACAAGAGAGGAGGGATTTGATGTATGACATATTTTACTGCATTGTTCTGTGTTCTGGGGCTGGGGGGGGGGGGCTGTTAAGTGATGCAGAAGCCTGACAGTATTAGAAATATCCATTGCAGCCAGGTGGCATAATAGGTAGCTTGAAAGGGGACAATGAACTGTGACAAAGTCAGACATCTCCCTGGTGACCTCTAGAAGGCCTAGCAGCACTATTACATACTGATTTTTTTAAAGCAGAAAATGTTTTACATTAACATTCTGCACTGTACAGCAAAATTCCATGACTCACAGTCCTACAACTTTCTAAAATATATTTATTAGTCTTAAAGAGTTAAAAGGGGAATGATTCCCAAGGTGCACTGAAGTGCTCAGTGGTAGTGACTCATGCACACAAATCATTCTTCACCTTAAGTTATTCATCCTGGCTCTGAGGTGGTTTTTTAAAGCCACCTTACAGAACCACATCTCTTGCAGCTTGGATAATTAAGTGGAGAAATAGCTAAAGATCCTCACTAGACTGCCTAATTGCAGATTTGGGGCATCTTGGTTACAGGATCTGAAAACTGGGTGTTACAATCTAGTAACAGCAAGGAGAGCCAGAGTGGTGTATTGGTTTGATCATAGGACTAGGACTCTGGAGATCAGGGTTTGAATTCCCACTCAGCCATGGAAACCCACTGGCAGGCCTTGGGTAAGTCACACTCTCTCAGTCTCAAAGGATGGTAAAGACAAACCCCCTCTGAATAAATTTTACCAAGAAAATCCTGTGATAGGAACAACTTAGGGGCACCGTAAGTTGGAATCAGTCTGAAGACATGCAACACACACACAGAGACATGCAAGAGCAAGTGAAAGCTGGTCAGCAAGTTTTTTAAAAAATGAAAACTGTGGCCACATGCTGTGTTACAAATACTATGGACATGTGTATGTCTATCAAGTATAATGCGGACATGTCCCAGTTAACAAAGTCTCTGTCAATGAAGTTCCTTTTTACAAAGGGTCTTTATGCTCCTATCCCCCTTTCATTCTCTTCCTAGATCCAAGGTTTTTCAATGCATCTGCACTGAGAGGCTGGTAAAGGAGGGCTGAGAGACTTTATGTTGGGTTGCACTAGTGTGTCTGCATTAAATAATGCAAAAAACAAGGCTTGATCTGGGAAACAGCTAAAGCTACTGTAGCTATGTGTGTCTGCCTGCAACAGGCATGCTAAACAGCAACTGCCTCCAGAATCCCTTAATGAGCATGTACAAGCAGCAACACAGAAAGAAAAGGGGAACACAGATAAGCCTACCTCACCAGATACTCGGTTTGTTACAAAAGCACAGATCCAAATGTTGGCCCCCAAGATGGAAATCCTAAGAAAAATGGAAGATGGTAAAAGAAAAAAATCATCCTTGGATGTATTTTGGAAGAAGACTTTAAGCAATCTCTAAAATGATCAAAATGTCTTTCTTTACAGACTGCCAGAAATAGTGCAAATTGAGTCCACTTTTAGGGTTAGGGTTAGTGCTAGGGAGTCATGGGAATTGTTGTTTTTTTTCCTGAGACATTGAGCCTTCTCTGTCAGAGAGCTCTGGTGCCACAATAAAATACAGTTCCCATGATTCCCTAACCCTTAAAGTGGACTCAATTTGCACTATTTCTGGAAGTCTGCTAAGGCCTTTAGGCAAAGTTTGCTCTTATGTGGTTGTTTCATTTTACATTTCCATATTGTTAGTTTTAAAGAAAAAGCTTGCTGAAACCTGTTCAACTGCTCTTTTTCTTTTCCTTTCTTTCATTTTTTTGTGGTGTAGAAACCTATCTTTATGTTTTCCATATTATTTCTACCTCTAGTACCAAATTGTTGTCTGAAAATGTAATGCTCAGAAACAAATCTACTTCATTAACTGAAGTGTGTCTGTACAAAGCCAGGAAGTAAAGGATCACAGTTTTCCAGAAAGAGCAGAAAGTCCAGTTTCTGATTGACTATTTACTTCACAGCAGTCCCATTTTTTCCTATTAGTGATTTATTATAAAAAGAGGTGTCAGGACCTAAATGGTAAGAGAGTCATTCTGCAGAACTGGAGGGGTTCCTTGGTCTGTACTAGAAAAAGGTTGCAGCAATATAAAAAGCAGCTACCACAAGTGCAGAGCCAGGAAAAGTGGAGTACAGCATTTCAAATCCTAGATACCCTATCCTAGTATATATCCTAGATACTATGGCCACCCAACTCATTTTGAATGTAGACTAAAGATATTTTCCAGGAATAAAAGTAATACCTACCAATGCTTATTGGCAAGGCAGCATCCTTGCCATGGGATATGGTCAGTTGATCTATTTCAGGAAGTACCATGAAGGAGGAAGCAGTTAAAAGCAGGAGCTGGTTGTTTGAGTGCAGGAAGATTTTTTTAAAAGCTCTGGCACTAGCTGGGCAAGGTGAAGCAGTTATGGTTTGGATGTAGGCTATTAACTAGACACTAGAGGCTTAATGGAAACAAGACAGTGGTACTGATGGTCAATAAACAAATGAAACCTGGAGTAGAAGGATCATCTGTTTCAGATGGGGTTGTATTCCTTCTGATAGGTCAGATTTGCAGCATTGGTCCTGAATATCCATGTTAGATTTGCATTTACCCAGTATCATTACCCATGATAGCTGACAGTATCCAAGTCTGTGGGACAGTGAATCCATTCTGGGGTTTATTTGCTGATGTTTTGTGCCTTCAAGTCATTTCCAACTTATGGTAACTCTAAGATGAAACTAGCACAAAGTTTTACTTTAAGGAGCTATCCAAGGTACTGAAGGTGCTAAAGCTATTTTGGAGATAGTGTACCACACCTTTAATATTTGAGTTAAAATCCTGTGGTCCTTTAACACTATAGAGTTAGAACACTTTGGTTCTAGTTTAAATTACAATGACAACATACTGTTGAATTCTGTAGTTTCTAGTTGGAGGAGTTAGAATTCTGAGTCAGAAAGTCTAATGTCTCATATGTGACTTCAGGTCGACTGTTAGCTTATGACAACCCCATAAATTTCATAGGATTTTCTCAAGCAAGAAATACACAGAGGTGGTTTTGGTAGTTTCTTCCTTTGAAATACAGCCTACAGCATCTGCAAGACCTGAGCAGGGCTGTTGATGACAGGGTGACTTGAAGGTCTCTCATTCATAGTGTCCCAACTAGAACAGTCCTATTCAATTGCTTGTTGAATGGTAAGTCAACACATAGATAAATTCCATTAATTTGATGAATCTACTCTAGTTAGGACTATTAACTGGATTTAGGCCAAAGTTTTCATATCAAGGGAAGTAATGGATCCATTCTATTCTGCTCTGGTCAGAACTCACTTGGAATATTGTGTACAGTTCTGGGTACCATAATTCAAAAAGGATATTGAAAAGTGAGAACATGTCCAGAGAGGGGTGACCAAGATGATCAAAGGTTTGGAAAACAAGCTTTATGAGGAGCAGCTTTGTGAGTTGGGAAGTAGTGGTATAGTGGTTTGAACATTGGACTAGGACTCTGAAGATTAGGGCTCAAATCCCCACTAGACCATGGAACCCCAATGGATGATTTTATGTCTTGTGCAAGTTTTAAAATTCTGCCAAGAAGACAATAGGTTTGCCTTAGGGTTTCCATAAATCAGAAATGACTGGAAAGCACACAGCAATAATGGTCTAGAACACACTGCAGAAATAATCAAGTTTGAGACTGCTTTAACTGCCCTGGCTCAGTGCTAGGGGATCCTGGGAACTGTAGTTTCTTGTGGTACCAAAGCTCTCTGACAGAGAAGGCTAAATGTCTCACAAAACCAATTCCCAAAATGTCCTAGCATTGAGCCAGGGAAGTTAAAGTGGTCTCAAACTGAATTATTTCTGCAGTGTGTTTTGGATCGACATGTTTACCTTGGATAAGGCTGAGAAGTGACATGATAGTCATATTTAAATATTTGATGCAATGTCATGTAGAAGATGGAGTGAGTTTGTTTTCCCTTGCTCTGCTCTAGAAATAGAACACAAACCAATGGATTCAAATTACAGCAAAAGCAAATGATAGAACTTCTATAAAAATTGTTCAACAGTGGAATAGACTTATAGAGTGGTGGATTCTTCTTCTAAATAAAAGTTGGGGAGGCATCTTTCTGGAGTGCTTCAGTTGTGTATTCTGGCATGGCAGGGTGGTTGGATTAGATGGTCCTTGTGGCCCCTACTGAAAGATTTAATTATTCCATCACTGTAATGCTTCCAGCACACTGCAAGAAAACTTGATTTATTTTGTTTGTGGATATGCACATATATCTGCAGTGATCTGTTTCTATTCTGAAATGGGGGAAAGGCTTAAGCAGACCGTGATTCCCTGTCTGATTGGGAAACTGAATCAAAGAGATTCCAATTATTGCATCATGTTCGTATGTGCTGCTTCTACATCATACACAGTCATGTTGGGTTTGCCTTGGATTAGTTGAATTAAATTAGTGGGAGTGAATGGGGAGGCACCTGTTTATCTGTTTCTTTGCAGATACAATCTCTCAGATCAGAGCCGACTTAGACGCCACCATTAGTTCAGAGTC